ATAAGCCTTAGTATGACTATGATCTGTGAGGATCTCTTATGAATAAAATATATAAACTTTAGTACTTAGAACTGTAGCAGTTGTTTTTATTGTTCAGAGCCCTATTTTGTTTATTTTTCAATTATCAGCTAGGTTCTGAATAGCTGAGGCTACTGGTAAGTGACTTCTGGTTAAGTGAGCTACATTAATCTTGCATCCAGGCAAGTCAAATATTTAGTTTCCCTGACACATCCAATTTGTATAATGTGAGAGATCTCTATATTGGGGCAGCTACAGGAGCTCCCTTTCTTCCTGGGTTCCATTTCAATGAATTTCCTTTCTCTACCATTTCTCTTTTGTATGCTTCTCTTTGTCTCTAAATTGACGAGGAGAATTGATGTCCTTGAGAGAGAAGGGGAGAATAAAGCTTCAAGAACAAATAGAATTGTATTGCCTCCCTTATTGTCATCTACACACCTCTCCCCTTTCTTTAATATACATTTATGACCTTACATTTTCTCCTGCTGCCCTGGTGTTGACAGTGTAAGTAATCTCACATAATGATTCTCTACCTACCTCAACTTGATATTTCCCATATCTTCACCTTTCTATGTATCTCTTATCTCATAAGGTCATCCCTTCACTCCCCCCTCCTTCAGTCCCACATTCTTTTGGATCTCTTGCTCTAGATCTTCAGAGTCTTTACCAGTAGCCTGGGATTGGGTATGCATGTGAGTAGGGGAGAGTCCACCCCACTGAGGAGCTGGGGAATCCCTTCATCTCATTGCAGTTACATCAGAGTAGGAAATTGATAGGAAGGAAATGAGTGTTTAAGTTTCTCAAATTGGAACTCAGAGCATTTTTCTCATTGAAAATTGATAAAAAGATTAGATTCTGTATAATATGATATATATGGGAAAATGAATTTGAAACTCTAAAACATCCAAGGAAACTTAATTACAAAGCATGTATAATGTATAATTGGTAGCCTTTTGTTAAGGTATAGAATTCAGTTCTTCATGATAAATTTTGTATCAACAAGCAAATTTTGTATTTTACATATGGTCAGTTCTGTTTTTCCCCCATTCTTTCTACTAGGAATTTCCATTTTTTACCCTGACGGCGTTTCCTCCTGGATTTCTTGTGCATGTTGGGGGAGTTGTTAGTGCACGCTCTGTGAAGCTTTTGGATCGTATCCACAATCCTGGTATGTTCTTTAAAAGTTTATTTTCAGTGTTTCATTTACTTAGATTATAATTATTGAAGTGATTTTTATAATGTTTTTTAAGCCAAATGTATCTGAAAGAGAAACGAAAAAGTATAAACTGACACATGTTGCTTTAAAATATTTGCAGTCATCTTAATTAAAAATAATCAAACTAAGTATAAGTATAATTTAGTTAATTTTTTATACAAAACAGACAAATCTTGATTCATTTTTGGTCAGGATGTCTCTTTGAGGGAATCCTTAAGTGACTTTTTAGCCAGCTGTTTTCTTTGACCCAGGCAGGTAGCAATTTACAATTTGACCATTGTCGCTAAGGTGTTAATTCTTTTCGCTAGCAATACTATAGATTATTCGAGTCATTTCTTTATTCTTAAAAAAAGTATTCTTTTAAAATATAATTGTAAACATTGTGTAGAGTATTTAAGATTTAATGAAAAAGCAGCTACTGTCTGATTCCTCGGTTTCTTTTACGTAGCTATTTGTTCTATATAAGCAAACAAGAATAGTAGCTTACTTCTTTAAAATATGGGGCCGTGGTTATAAAATAAGAAAGTCCTAGTAATTTTAGGCCCTTGGATTAGAAATGCTTTGGTGATTTTTCTAAATCTAAAATAAGCATGGTAATTGTGGTAGGAACTTTTTTATATGGAACGTGTTCTTGCATCTCTCATTGATGCGATACCCAATAACTTGCTTAAGTCACTTATTTTAATGACATGCCTTAAACCTGAAATTATATTAGCATTTTTATTTGGCGTATAAACATATAAATTTTTGAAAATTATAAATTGTTACTTCTAATAACCTCTTCCTGAGGTTTGCACTAACAGTTACAAAAAGAGTAAAATGCTTTGAGATTATTGTATGCAAAACATTCTTTTAAAATTAAAAAAAAATTAATCTGTGCCCTGTAGTTTGATGTCATTTGTGTTAATAATTATAGAGAAAAGAATGAAATTTTTCTAGATCCTGAGCAAGATTTCAGAAAAGCAATACTAGCTAGGATTATTTTACTCTGAGGCTGAGCAAATACATTTTTTAAGCATCAGTCTTCTCTTTTTCCTCTATGGTTTATCCCCCTCCCCTGTTTCTTATTTTTCTGGTCAATTAAAGGTCTTTTCTTCCTGTAGTATTTGTATATTATGCAATAATTAAAGGCAAATTTAGACTGATGCCAGCCTAATGTATTGAGACCTTGAAGACTATGCTAAGTTCCATATTTCTGTGTTTAGGAACTTGAATTATTTGGAAAGTGCAAGGAAGTATAGGGTTAAGATACCTGACATTGGCTATGTGACCCAAAGTTAGTTACCTGAGTTCCCGTGGACCACTGACTCAAATATTTTGATAGACGGCACCTACTGATATAATAACTTCAAAAATAGTTTCAGGAATTTTTCAATTATTAGTGATATCTTCAGTTTACTGAAAACATTTTGATTTTATTGTTGCTTCCATGTACTCTGAGTAAGCTGTAGAGTCTGGGAGAACAAAGGAAGGTTACATAAATAAGTTTAAATAGAGAGCTGTATTTACAATCATATAACTTTTTACAAAAAAAACTGCTTTATGAGGTTTATCATACTTGCCAATTTGTTCTAGCTGTGTAAGAAATGTAAGAATCCAGGCCCAGGGAAGAAAATAGAAATCCTTACTACAGGATACATTTTGTGTATTACAATTACGAGCTTATCCATCCTCTTCCTTTCTTTCCCTTTCAGAAATGTTTTCAATTCCCATATGGAAATTCTCAGTTACTAATGGACTGTTTCCCAAACAATTATGGGCATATACTTATAAATGCTTTTAATGATATATGTTAAATTTTAATTTTGTTTTATTTTCAGTTAAATACAAATCAATTATATATTTGAATGGTTCCAATATTATATTATTTTGATAATAAATATGACGTTCTTTGGATTGCTTTTTATATTATGCATTAAAAAAGAACATTTTACGAACATTTTATTAGTCTTCAGACCCCTTAAATAATTATTTATGAACAGTATTTTTATTTGTTGAAAAAAGCTGAATGTTAAAACAAAACTTTAGATGAGTGTCTACATAAGGAACACTACATAATACATAATGATGAAGTATTAATTTTATGACACTGAGTTAGTCTGCTGAGAGAAACTTTGGGTAGATTGAGATGCATGTGCTAATATTAAAAGTGCTGTATTCGTACTCTCAAATGAATCTTGCAGCTATTTTTTTCACTAGTGAACATTGGAAATTTGCATTTCACACTGAGTGTAGAAGGAAAAAAAAATCTTATTTTAAAACCACTACCACCTGCTAATTCTATGGATTATTATTTTGAAGTTATTGCTTCTAGGACTTTCTCCTTTGTTAAATATTAAGCAAACAGGATTACATAACAAAAGAAAGAATGGGGTGGTTTTAAAAATCAAAGTAATTATCTTAATTAGATTTTAGTTAATGTTAGATTATGATAGCATGCTCCTTCTTCTCTTTCTATTTCTACTTCTTATTAACTCTGCTGTCTGTGTCTTTCCAGTTCCTGTCGAGTGGTGTTGTCAATTGTGTTTTGTTTGTAGTGTTTTATGTTTTTTCCCTACTATTCTGCACCTAAAACTGATCTACTAATTTGCTGTTTTGAACTCAGCCTTTGTCGGAATTATGGGTAACACAAGATCTTACAAACTGCTAGACTGGAATAGTTTCAATTCAGGTATTTTAATGGTCATTCAGTACTACATATGCTGACAAAAATTATGGCAGCTCAGTGAAGTTTTTAGAAATGTTCTAGATTAAATAGGTTTAATATCAATTCAGTTATGCAGATACATTCTTCAATGTATATGTTATAACTTGTAATTTCCATGGAAATGCAAATATAAAAATGTGTTAACTCAAATGAATTAATCAAAACCATAGAAATACCATAAGTTATTTTGTTAAGTGATTAACTTTGAGAATGATGATTTTAAATTATATTTATTATGTTTTCAACAGTTTTTTCCTATGAGATAAATGACACAGGAATTAGCGTAATGATTAAGGAAACAAATTGTTAAATATAAATATTAAATGACTTGATAATATTAAAATATATTTAAACCAGTTCAGATTTGAATATATTTAGCATTCTATAAATACAATAAAAGTGTAACTATTAGCATTTTATTTATAATTTTAGAAGTGTTCCAAAATCTGTTGAGTAAGAACAGATTTTGAGGGGATTAACAGCTTTCATAAGCTTTCCTCCTTCCTCTTCCACGTGAGAATGTAATTTTTTAAAGTAATTTTACATATGGATATTGTTTATAGCTTTTAAAGAAACTGAACTAAGTTAACTTTACAGCTGGTGATGTGGTTTAGAGTCGAAGCTAGTTAATTTTCTTTTTGGTAAAAGCATATTCTCTCAATAATACAAATATTGAAATTTTTGTCATTTACATATTAGAATTAAATAATAGAACCATCTTGATTCAGCATCAGAAGCTGTTATTTTACCTAAAGAACCTTTCAGCTTTGTGTCAGAAAATATATTTATAGAAAAACAAAACCAGAAATATCGAGTCTCAGCATTTTAGATAATATCCCATAATCTTTTCAATATTGTAAACTTTTTTTGTTCTTAGGAGTCCAGGATGTAAGTTCTGATGTAAGTAACGCATGTTTGACTATGAAGTAACTCGTTTATCATGCAGATTTACCTAAATGCAGTCTAGTAAATAAGCTGATTAGGTCCAGTTGTTGCAGTTGTAGACTGACACCAACTGGTAAATCTTTAGGGAAATTATCTCTATTTTCTATCCAACTTTTGCCAGCATACTGTTCTCACATTGATTATAAGTAAAATAATCATTTTTAATGTAATGCTGTATACTTGGTTTTTAGCAAGAAATTAAAAATACCCTGGTGGATTAGTTTAATAAAAATAAGAATATATTTTTCAAACATTAGGCAGATTAAGTGTAGTGTCAAGAGAAAAAAGGCTTGCTATGTAAGAACACTGAGAGCGGATTGATCATTAATAATTTAAGGAGCCGAATCTTGTCAGGGCAAATATGTTTAGGGTGAGATTTATGTTAGTCAGATGATAGAACAGTTCTCAAAAATGGAAAAGGCAAAAGTTAAGTCTTATAGCATAATAAAGACCTTGTCTCGTGTAAGCAGAGTGACAGAATTTGTCAAGGAGAAACATGATTAAGGGATCAGTATATCTTGCCATCATTTAAAATAAAGTCTAGTAGGCAGTAAGTGTATGATAAAACAGAGATGACTATAAGTTATAGAATATTCAAAGAACATAAAAGATGACTGTCAATTTAATGTTCTCATAGTTGTATGCTTTTGATTGAGGAATTAGAACTGTTATGGTAACGTCTGGTACATATTCAGAAATCAGGCTGATTTTGGTGTTTAGGAAAAATAACTTGATAATTCTGAAAAAAAAAGTGACATTTGGTAAATATATTCAAATTATTCATGTATTCTTCTCTGTAATTAGGGAATATTGCTGTCCTGTATTGCCATAGTGAATCAAGTATTAACCATGTCAATGAGAAAACTAATTTTTGGTATGGTTTTTGATTTATTTATTTTTATTTTTTATTTATTTTTATTTTTTAGATGAAGCAACCTTTGGTTGACCTCACAGATTGCAAGGACTTTGTCAGTTTATAATGCCTTATTTTTTATTTTTTATGCCTACAGCACCTGGTCTTCCTAGGTGGTCTCCCATCCAAGTACTAACCAGGCATGACCCTACTTAGCTTCCAAGATCAGATGGGATCAGACTCGTTCAGGGTAGCATGGCCATACACTGTTTTCTTTCGTTTGTTTGTTTTAATTAATGCTAGAAATTGTTCATACTGTGTTTCCTGGATTCTCTGATACCATGTATTATATGATGTATCATCAGTTTAATTATAGCCTTCCAAGAGCAAAGAGAAAGAAACACTATCATATTAAATATACTTATCAATTATTAGACATTCTTATTT